AACAGAAAAAGAATGCCTTGCTGTAGTCTGGTCTATTAGCAAATTCCGTCCATATTTGTTTGGTCGACCATTCACGGTTGTCACTGACCATCATTCTCTATTTTGGTTGGTAGGACAGAAAGATCCTTCTGGCCGTTTGGCAAGATGGGCGCTGAAGTTGCAAGAATTTGACGTGACCGTTATCTACAAGAGCGGACGCAAACATAAGGATACCGATTGTCGCTGGCGACAATATGTTTATAACTTCTCCTATTTATAAATATAAATCGACGCAATTATCCCTAGTCGGGATATCGTGTTTTGTGTGTTAAAATAGAATATTGTATTGTTAACAAATCAAAACATTATAAGACGCTAGTGTTTCCCCCAACAAACAAATCAAACTTCTGTTGTTGTTGTTTCTTATATTTCCCTTGTGTAAAAATTACACGAATTCCATAAATTCATGATCTCATGGAATGGAGTATAGGGGAGCAGCTTTCATTGATCATGGCACCATGATCCAGGCACACTTTGGTGAAGGTCTGACTTTGCCTGTAATTTGAGGTCGTTCCTAACATGGAAGCCTTTGCTGCTGACTCTAACATGAGTACAGACGCAGCTCCTCCGTATCCCTCGAGTGGGACCCTTGCTGAGGTCCATCAACCGGGTCAGTTGACCTCAGGATTTAAAAAAAAAAACTTCTACTGTCCTTATATTGCAATGATAAAATAACGGGAGGACCTTTCTCACCAGTGGTGAATCTTTCCAGAGGTTTCGCCAATTTAATTTACCAGACCGCTTCTTTAGAGCTCTAATACTGTATTGGATCATTCTGATTTTATATGCTACACTGAAGGAGGGAATCTTAGAAATGGTATTTAAGCAAACTATGGACATAAGCTTTTAGGACAGTAGAATTACATATAAATATTTGCATCTAGCAATTCTCTTCCGTAAACAATAAAGACAAGGCCAGTTAGGCCTAAATTAATACAAAGCAATAACGCTCCATCCATACATTATTTATTTATTTATTTATTACAAAACACAAGCTATATCCTATGTTGATTTGCATGTAAATGTTTAATCTAGATTATGTACATAGTTTTAAATATATATATACAAATTATTTATAGTTTTAGAGAGAGAGAGAGTGAAAGTTATTTAAATTTACATTTTAGAACAATAAATTATACAAGAAATAAAGATTATTTACACACATATTATCAAAACTCCAATATATCTTTAAAATTACAACCACTAAACCAGTGGCACAAATATAGAACATTCAAAAAATAATAATAATAACAGCAATAAAAATATATACAGTAAACTCTCCTATAACGCGATTAATGTGTGTCCGTGTTGTATGAAATCGCGTTATAGGAATTCGCGTTGTACGAAATAAAACTTGTATAACGCGAATGTTGTTAGGGTAAATTGATTTATTTTATAACGCGTTAAACGAAAATTCGCGTAGTATAAATAAATTTGTCGCAATTTTTTTATCGCGTTGTAAAAACTCGCGTTATAGGAGAGTCTACTGTATCTACTAATTAAAACTAGAAATTTCAATTCTTAATATAATTCAAGTCCAGGTATTTGAGATATAGTCTACAGAATTTGTACATAATGTCTACAGAATCCATACATAATGTTACAAAATATCAAATACAGATTATTAATTTGTATAATTATATTTTGCTACTCTATGAACATTCCTCATTGCTTATCCTGTATTTCATAAATTTCAATCTGTTTGTCATTATAAATAAATTGCTAGTCTTCCACAAGTTTGTCTTTCATAATTTCCTACGTAACAATAAAGTAACGATTATTAAAAATAATTTTAAAGAATGACTCTTTGTTCATTAAAACATATATTGAATGAGCTTGGAACATACTGTCAAAACTTTTTTTTTTCAAATTTATCCCTAGTACACGTGGTACAGGCCATGCTAATAATGTTGGGTCGAAGTATGCGATTGCTTTTACTGTAAGTGCACCACATGTCTACATATGTGAAAAGCAGCTGTCAAAACTTATTGTATCCTTTTTACTTTGTCACTGGCTGTCCGATAAACGAGAAGAATTATGTACTTGTGTCCATGGTTTAGTTGATTACCATTTCTGGAATTCTATCCTTCAGTGCAGCCTACATAAGCAGAATTCTTATTATTAGAGTATTAGAGATCTAAAAAGCGGTCTGTATCGTTCCAATTTTAGTATATGTACCGCCGAACAAGCGTCCACATAGGATATAGCGTGTGTTTTGTAATAAATAAAATAAATAAAAATTATGTATAGATGTAGCGTTATTGCTTTGTATTACCAGCCTAATATAGAAGAAATATACATATCCCCGACCCAGAAATTATATCTAAAACTCTCTACTTCCCAAAATCCAGTTATACAAGAATTGTTCCAATTTGATGGAGACCTCAATCCAAGACATAAAAGACCTGGACTTCACTCTACCTGAACTGTGACCTTCCAGTCAGTTCTGAAGGCCATTTTTTAGAAATTCTTGATGCCTAACATCTCCACGACAAAGTGACTCGTGAACTCTATGCTCGAATGGTACACTGTAAATTTGAGAGGAAATAAATAAATAAATTTATGCCTAACTGGCCTTGTCCTTATTGTTTATGGAAGAGCATTGCTAGCGATCTGGTTGATTAAATTGACGAAACCGCTGAGAAGAGTTCACCATTGAGACGCAAAGCTCTTCCAAATATATATTTTTTTATCACAGTAAGGACAGTATAAATGTATTTAATGTTTAAAAGAAACTTGCGTGCTTAAATGTTTTTTTTTTTCTTCTTGTATATAGATGGCGTGTTATTTACCATATTGCTTACCATAGTATAAATAGGCTTGTATCTCTTTGAATCTCTTAGCTTTTTGCCAGTAGAAGGGCGTGTGGCCTGAAAGCTCGCTCGCGTTTTATTAAAAAGAAACTCATCTTCCTTCGCGCTTTACTTACTTACTTACTCGTAAACAGGAAGAGTTCTATCGCTTATTCATTTCCCTATAATCAAAGAATATTATGATGCATTAGCGCGCCATCTGTTATGAAAATTCGAAACTGTGACTTGGTTCTGTTAAATTGTTGGTTTTTCTCTTATGTTTCTTAAGTTTACAACGCACACACATGTATTTGCGTGTGTGATAAATTGTACAAACGTGAAATTGTACGGGAATCTGATGGATAAATTAAGAAAAAGGAATCTCCTGATCATAACAAAAGGTTTCTGATGGCCTTATACCATCTATCGGAATAAATATCAACTAATTGTTGAATTTTCAATGATTCCAAAATTGGCCAAATATTTATACTGAAAGATGGCGCAAGCCATCAGCAAATTTTAGTTAGACGATTAAGACATGCCTTTTCTTAATATATACAATATTATAGACGTGTAAGATTCTTTTAAAAATAAAACAATTTCTAATGTCCTTACTGCAATGGAAAACTTAATAGGAGGAAATGACTCATCAGTGGTTAACCCTCTCCGCGGTTTCGCCAGTTTATCATTATTACGAGTAAATATATAGTTGCGGGAAGGTAGATAGACCTACCTCGGCTGGGTTCATCAGAGATACGCGGCTAAGGCTCCGGACCATGTTCCCGTAGCGGCCGACGGTAGGTTTGGTATTTCCCATCAGTGACGCTCGGGACAGGGAGCGTACAAGATTCGACCTTTCTTCTTCCTGGTAGGGGATAGGTGACGGTGAAGGAGAGAATCGTGGTGTCTGACAGAATGAATCAACACGGTTTGGTTTCGTAATGGGTGGTGACGTTGGGATGACTTGTGGTTGAATAGCTGTTGTTGATGATTGTTGCTGAGGTTGATGATGAATAGCGTTGTCTTTCTCCTCCCTTTCTTCTTCATTTTCTGCCGCACGGCTACATGCACGCAGCTGCAGCAGTTCCTCCAGTCCTCTGGAGATTTGCTGAAACACACTCAAGATATTAGATTCTATCTTTCAATAGACAATCAGTTACATAGACAATACTAAGGAAAACAATTCACATCCCCATTCTGTCTTAAACATAGTATTTCCGCATCCTTCTTTTAACTTATCCTTTTATTAGTCTAAATTAGATAAGATCTTGGAGGTCGTACTCATAAAGAAGTTCAAGAACTCTTCTTGGTTCTCTGTGCAGGGATCCTTTGTCCTTTCCAATACAATTTAGTATATGTTGGGGAGTGGCCTCTTCGGTTTTGCACCTAGTGCACATGGGTAAGCTTTTGGCTCCCTCTAGCATCTTTCTTGATTGTAACCATGCCACTAAACAGGATCTTTGGAACAATCAAAGAAAACTTATGAAAACGTCACTAACAATGAAGTATGGATATGCTGAGAACAACGTATGAACCTGTATTTACCTCTCCACATATATTTTTTCTTGGATTACCTGAAGAAAAGCATTTTGCTTGAAAGCTTGTAATTTTCATTTTAATAAAAGAAACTCACCACGCTATTTTTCGTTTTCTCTTTTAACTTTTAAAACGTGGCTAAAGTATGTATGAAACATTTTCGGAGAAAAATAAATGTAATAAAATACTTCCTGATCAAGATATAAGCTCAAATGTCATTGGAAACTTACAACCGGCTTCGTGCTATGTACCTCAACAGTACTGATGCCAAAGAGAGAGAGAGAGCTTGAATATTCATAGATCTAAATACTCGCGTTATGTATAGAGATAAAAAATTCAATGTTTCAATATACAAGGTTGTCCCAAAAGTTCGTAAACACTTGAAAAAAATTGAAATACCAATATTATTCACCGTTTTGTATAATGTCTTTGTATTAAGTATTATTATATAATACACACAACATAAGGCGGCTTATGATTGTAAAACGACATTTGAAAATATCCCGCATGTGTTTCTTTTAAAGGAAAATATCTAAAAAAAAATTAAAGGAAAATTACGATTATTTTTAACCTTAGAGATGAAGTATGAAAGGATGTATTGTGAAGAGTAATGATAAACGAAAAAAATAAAAGTGTCCAGGGATGGGAATCGAACCCACAGTGTTCCTCTTACTGGGCAGATGCCATGCCCACTAGGCTAGGTTCCCATCCCCCTGGACACTTTTATTTTTCCGTTTATGATTACTCTTCACAATTCATCCTTTCATACTTCATTCCTACGGTTAGAAATAATCGTTATTTCTCCTTAAAAATAAATTTATATTTTTCCTTTAAAAGAAACGCATGTGGGATAATTTTCAAATGTCGTTTTACAAGTATTATTTTATATTCGCCGTAATAATATTATTCACCAAGTAATAAGAAAAACAACGTTTTAAGAAAAACAAACATTTTTTCTCAAAATTTTCCAAATTTTGGGATAACCTTATAGTTAGAAAAAGAGAGTGATGCCTTTTCTGCAATGGACTATTTTCTTTTCAAATATATTACATTTATTTACTTCTATGCAAGCATTTTTTTTTTGCTTATCCCTAGTACACGTGGTACAGGCCATGATAATCATGGTGGGTAGAAATAGACGACTGCTTTTACTGTAAATGCACCACATGTCTACACATTTGAGAAGCAGTTCGACTTTACACTTACAAATCTTGGTATAATTCTTGGTACAATACTTGGTAATTAATACTATAGGTATAATTATAACGTTTCCTATTTATAAACAATCAATAACACAGGTCTACAAAAAAAAACCTTTTTTTTTTGCACAAGAGAACCTGATGGTGTTTCTAGTGTAACCTTTCATGCTGAACTCAAAATTCTAATCAGAAATTTCCCATCACCCATGGTTTTTGCCTAAGGTCTTTTTTTTTAGTATTGGGATAAATACAGTAATAAATGCAACCAATGTTACGTAAGCATTTTTAAAGTTACATCATTAACTAAGCTAGCGCTTTATTTTTGACAAGAAGAGTTGGTATGTGGAGCCAAAAGCTTTATTTTATTTGTTATTAATTAAATTTTGCTCTTTAAGAATCATAAATATTAATTTAAATAACAAATTATTGAAATTTTAATTGAATATATCTAATTTATTATTATATAATATTATAATCTGTTTTGCTTTCAACTCTCAAAAATAACGACAAGCTCTATAATGCTATTTGCTCATTAACAGTTTTAATATATATGTTTAAATTGAACCTAACGATTTGTTTAATAGATTTGCAGCAGAAGTGACAGGTAAATTTGAAGTGATTAGTTTATTCTTCTCTATCGATTTGCTTTTATAAATCGTGTGCACTAGACTGTGTCAATATGCCGAACGTTGCATTAATATTCCTGATATTTTCTTTTATATTTGTGGGGAATTAACTTTCAAAGTTCAAAGGCGAAACTTTACACCGCTAATCAAAAAGTGCTATGAACTTTATTTTGGCTTTAAATTCGGTGACCAAGATAAGACTTGGGCTCCTCACTATTGTTGTGTAATTTGTGTTCGACATCTTACAGGGTGGATTAAAGGTGAACGTCATATGCCTTTTGCGGTTCCAATGATATGGAGGGAACCCAAAGACCATTCTTCAGACTGTTATTTTTGTTTGACAAAGACTACAGGTATTACATCCAAATCAAGACCTACAGTTGAATATCCAGATTTGCCTTCTGCTATGAGTCCGGTTCCTCATAGTGATATTTTACCTGTTCCACAGCCTCCTGAAAATGTAATATTTAGTGACGATGATTCAGATAGACGAGAGCAACAGTGGGATGACACAAATTTTGAAGCAGGTGCTTTATCTGAACCTCATTCATTAACCCAAGGAAATTTGAACGACCTCGTACGTGATTTAGATTTATCCAAAAAACAGATTGAACTTTTAGGCTCTAGGTTAAAAGGCTGGAATCTGCTGCATAAAGGCACAAAATTATGCTTTTTTCGTAAGCGTCAAGATGAATTTCAAGACTTCTTTTCATACGAGAATGATTTAGTATATTGCAATGATGTTGTTAGTCTAATGGAAGCGCTTGGTCATGACCATGATACAGAAGAGTGGCGTTTATATTCATTGATTCTCCAAAAATTAGTATGAAAGCTGTTCTCCTTCACAATGGAAATAAGTTCCCATCAGTGCCAATAGCACATGCATCCAACATGAAAGAGACTTACGAAAACATGAAACTGCTTTTGAAAAAGATAGAATATGAAAGATAAGGTTGGAAAATATGCAGCGATTTGAAAGTCGTTGCTCTCTTGCGTGGATTACAGCTTGGATATACAAAATTTTGTTGTTTTCTGTGTGAGTGGGATAGCAGAGATAGGGAAAGGCATTACATTAAAAAAATCTGGCCAAACCGTAAAATCTTTACTCCAGGATATAAAAATATTGCAAATCTACCCCTGATCGATTCAGAAAATATTTACTTACCACCATTACATATTAAACTGGGATTAATGAAGAACTTTGTCAAGGCAATGGATCGAAATGCCAGTGGATTTGCCTACCTAAAACAAACATTTTCTAGTATATGTGAAGCGAAGATTAAAGAAGGCATTTTAGTTGGACCTCAGATTCGAGAATTGCAGCAGGATGGAAATTTTCAAAATAGTTTGAATGAAGTTGAAGCAGCAGCATGGAATTCCTTTAGAAACGTTTGCAAAAACTTCTTAGGAAGTGTCAAGGTTGAAAATTACCGAGACATAGTTAATGATCTGTTGCTTTCCTACAAGGCACTGGGATGTAACATGTCCCTCAAGATCCATTTCCTGCATTCACATCTAGATTTCTTTCCAGACAATCTTGGCGCAGTTAGCGATGAGCACGGTGAGAGGTTTCATCAATATATATCAAGCATGGAGAAGCGGTACCAAGGTAAATGGAGTCCCGCTATGCTTGCCGACTACTGCTGGACACTCAAGAGGGATCTACCACAAGCAAAGTATAGAAGAAAATCCACTGTCACTGCTTTTCAATAAATAAATATGTTTCGTTCATATATGCCTATATATTAACAATATTTCCAAATTTCAAGTAGGTGCATCTCAGAAATATTGCGTAATAGAAAAAAACTAATGGTATATTTGGATTCAGGACATGTACATAAGATGCTATTTCTTTGTGGACAAAGAAAAATATTTTTTGATAAACCAGTGTAATGTAATAAGGGTTATGCAAAACTGCTTACGTAACATTGTTTGCATTTTTACTGTATTTATCCCAATACGAAAAAAGACCGTCACGCAAAAACCATAGGTGATGGTAAATTTCTGATTAGATTTTTGAGTTCAGCATGAAAAGTTACACTAGAAACATAATCAGGTTCTCTTGTGCAAAAATCTTGTTGACCAGTGTAATCACAATACTTTGTGTTTTAATATTTAATTTAATTACAAGGTTAATCGAAATATATAAACAAAAAAAAACGTATGCAGAATTACAAAAAGAGAGAAAGTACAGTGTTAAATAACTATGAAGAAAAATCAAAGAATAGTTAAAAATTATAAATAAATAAATACAAAGCATGTTACAATGGTTTTTTTTTTTGCTTATCCCTAGTACACGTGGTACAAGCCATGATAATCATGGTGGGTAGTTAGCGACTGCTTTTTTTTACTGTAAGCGCACCACATGTCTACACATGTGAAAGCAGTTCGACTTTGCACTTACAAATGTGCCAGAGCCCCGTTTGGTTACTTGCACTCGCTGGTGGGGTTGGACTTTTGCAAGAATCGGGGGGCCATTGGAGCATTTTTTTTTTTTTAAACAGAAAAAGGTGTCCAATGCGGGGATCGAACCCGGGTCGTAGTGGTCGTAAACCAAACGGTTTAACCAGCCTTCCACCGACCCCCATGTTACAATGGTAATGTTGTTTAATTTAAAAAAAAAAAGAGAGAAAAGAAAGAGAAACTCAAGCAGCCTTGGTACCTTATATTACATTTAACTTACTTCAATAAATGTACGATCGAATATTAATCAACTTATCTTACAATACAAACTATAATATTACAACGCAACTCTGCCTTTGCTGGTACCAAGCCCGCATGAAAAAGAAGGGGGAGCAGTAACAAGCTCACTAAAAAAAACCTGGGCTCAGCTGATAGTACCCTGTAAGGGCTCCTAATCCAGGGATACAGGATGAGCAGTGTCTGGGTACTCCATGTTAGGAGCGGCTGCACATGGCGTCTGTTCCTCATGTCAGAGGCGGCCATTTCTTTTGGAGCTAAGTCGGCCTGCCACTAGTGCTCCCAGTCTTAATGACAAAGGCAGATGCATTCAACTTCACCCATTCTTAAGCTCTACAAGCTTGATGCCCTAATATGATTGAGTGGAGATAAGAAAGAAGAAAAAGAATATTAAAACGTCGTTTAAATTTTAAAAAATTTAAACATAATTTGATGATATTCAAATAAGTTGCTATATATGTATAATACTTATTTTCTGAATAGTTTTCATACCAGGAATATTTAGGGGGAATATCTATTTCTGCGATCGGGTTGGCAGCAATGCGGCCGAGTGTAGCAATATCCATTAGGTTAGGTTAATTTAGGGTCAGATAGATTATGTTAGTTTGTATAATTATATATGTTTCCCTATTTTACAAATTGTTTCAAACGAAATAATGATTTTGGTAGTTATGATGTCAATTTTCACTTTGTTAATTTATTTCGTTATCCAGAGCTATCGGCTGCATCGAATTATCACGGCGCATGCGTAAGTTGTCTTCATTTTTTGCATTTACCATTATATACGATTCTATAGAACTTCTGTTATTTCCTTGATAACCTTTTATGACAGATTAATGTCCTTGTATGAGCGACAAACATAACTTTGTATATAATACTGAGTCAATACATATCTACTATTGTATAGGCCTTACATTGTATGTATATAGATCAATGTATAAGGGATTTGTGTTAATCTGCTGCTGATCCTCTTTTTTCTGTTTTTAGCGCCCTCTATGTGATACATGCGTCTTTCAATTATCCTTAGCTACCGTTTGATACCCGGGCCGGGGTTAAGCTCACACAGACGAGAGCCGGTGTGAAGTACAGTACAGCTTCTACTGATGATTGGTCGGTGGGACGCATGCGCGGACTCACTAGTCAAATGTTGCCAAAACTCCTTAAGATTTTGTAGTCAGAATTGTGTGTGTAGTG